GTGAGTGACAATACATTTAAGATTAAAGGGTTAAGTCAAGGTCTAGAAGCCTAATACTGTACTTGACTCTTTCACTATCCTTTTTCTGCAGACAATTGGGAGCTTTCTTAAATGTGAACAGCAGGGAAGTTGTGTAGATAATTAGATTTTGGTTGTGCTATGCAAGTTTGCTTTAAAAAAAGTTGAGAATTAAGACCCCAGGGATGAGAGAGAAGAGAAAAAGGACAAGAGAAGACATGAGAAGGAGCAGGTGGATAGGGGGGTTACTGTCACAAGATATTAACACATCCTCCTCATGAGGAGTTACCCTCCCAGACATTTCCAGAAAAAGTGTTGAAATACAGGAATTTTCACACCCTAACACTTTGGAAAATTGCTACATGTAACCTTGAAAAAGTTATTTTTGTCTGGCTCTTGTATGGAAATGACACATTGTTGTAGGTCTATGCTTTGATATCTGTGTTTGTGTATCTGTTGACATAGTTCTGGTGCATTCTTGCCACAGTAATTGGGCACACATGATGAGGCTAAGGGAGGGGAGTGCTGGTAAGGCCTCAGTCCTGTCATGAGTCTCTTATTCCCAGCCCAGTGTGTGTCTGTGTGAGAGTGTGTTTGTACTTGTGTGCCTATGAGATCAAGCTGGTTGTGTGTCTGTGTGTGTGCGATAACACACCATTGGCATTCTTCATTTGTAGATAATTGAATCAGGCTATTTTAGTTTGCTCAGAGCGCAGCTGTAATTTGCAGCCGTTCTGCTCTTAAGGACCGGTAATTATGGCTTTTAGAGTCTCCCAAAACAACTCAAACGGCTTCAACTCATGACAGCTGTACATCTGTGTGCTAGTTCACACACACACACACACACATACACACACAAACACACACGTGAGCACATGTTTGGCTGTTAATTAATCTGGTACATTTTCCCACTGAGGTGGACTCAATGCACTTCACTTGTTTTTTGTATTAATTCAGTTTTGGGTTGTTTTCCTAACTTAAATCAATAGTGTTGTTTTGTACAATAAGACCTTTATTCACAAAAGACATGATTCAAATGAAATGATTGAAATTGGATCTGAATATTTCAGAATTTTACAAAACCATAACAGGCTGATCAACTTTTTAGTTGGCTAATTTACATTCTTTTAAAGCTTGATGACAATCCAGCATAATACATATTTAAGGGAGAATTAAGGGAAAGCTTAGTAAGCATGTTTAATTTAATCATGTTACATTTCCATGTTCCTTTTTATCGTACGCATATCAGGCTGGGGTTTGTCCTATCCTAAAAACAGAGCCTCTGTCTATTATCGCTTCATCACCTGATTTGCTTGTTGTTTATCAGGTGCAGACACATCAGAGTTAATGAAGGGATGGCTGTCTATTCTCCAGACGCTGCGCTGTCAGGCTTTAATAAAGTGCAGGCAATGTGATTCAATGGGCAATTTTCATGGGATGACAGAAATAGAATAAGCTTCCTCAATTATGTATTGAAACAACCTACAGTACAGGTGGTTGCATGAGACTGGAGACAATCTACAGAGGAACAAACTAATGAGAGTTCTTATTTCTGGATCCTGCATTCATTCCAGCTGCTTTTCTGATAGAACAAATACAACTGCTTCCAACAAACTTCAAATTAACCTGCACTCAAAAGCACTGAACTGTGTTTTCATGCACGATTTGTTCGTCTGTTTTTAATGCTGCATTCATTCTCTGATTTGGCAGAGCTGCTGCTGCTTTGCTTCATTACTAGTAATCTCAGTAGTTATTATAACAGTTTGAATTGAATCGTGCACGTGTGACAGCCTCGTTATGTTTTATAAAAACATTATTTTACAATTTTTATATCAACATTTAATGTGGAAAATTCAGAATGACTAGAGCACACATTCATTTTGACAGGGATGTGAAAGTATAAAACTCAAGAAGCAGAATCGTAAGATTTGAACTCATTCCATAAAGTGTTGTCCCAGATGTTAAATGTCCTGAGTGCTTTCGCATATCCTGGATATGATCATTGAAGTTGATGATTTATACAGAACAGGCCATCGAAAATGTTCAGGTAAATGAGTTTGAATCGCCAGAAAAGAGGCGTTGTGTTGCTGAGGACCACATCTTGACACTAATTTCGACAATGTCATATGATTGTAAACTTTTTGTGTCGTGAGTTAATCCTGAAGGCACCTAAATGCTCATGAAGATAATTTAGTGGCAGTCGCAGCTTAGTCGACAATATGACTTTCACAACTGGAAGCATCCAAGCAACAAGAGGATTATCTTCCCACCATCCGCTACCTTGAATATGGCACAGCCCGGGAAGCATATGGCTGCAATCTGTGGCACCACCCTCGGTACGGCCTTTTTGCTTTTAATTAAACACATGGAGACACCCCATGCTTGGGTAACAACCTGGCAAGGGACTAATAAAGAAACACCCAAATGAGAGTTCGATAATAACTCATGTGTCAAGGACATTAATATCCACATTACTTAAAACATGACTTTGCATACACTTTATCGTATGTCCCATTACACTTAGAGAAACTGATTGCAATACTTATCCAAACTTGCAGCTGATGAGTGTAACAGTCTGCATCCTTAGTTGGGAGATTTGCTTCAAGCAGGGGGAAATCCATTGGCAGTCAGACATAATGTATCTCACATGTTTGTGCAGCTGGTTTAGTCGTATCATGGCTGACTAAGTGAAGACTCTCTTCCTCCCTGTCTGGGACTTATCCGACTGTCCCAGAGTAAACATGAAAACTGGAGCACACGCCATGGAAGTTGAGGTTAGGTGAAGTAAACATACTAATGTGCCAATCATGTCATCAGCATTAGTGCTTGAACACCTCTAATCAAGGGATTGGCGTTCACACACTTTGATCCAAGCATATGTGTGTGTGTTTGTGTGGATTATGGGGGCTAGGAACAGTAATCTCCTGACCACATGGACGTCAGAGGCAATCCAATTTACAGTATGACACTGCTTAACTCTTACAGATACAACCTGTTGTACTGTATATATTCTGGCTGCTGTATATGCAATATTTAAATAGGAGAGGTTGTCTTGTTTATGATCTGACCTTCTTATTGTCGACAAGAGGCTAACCACACTAGCGGCTAACTGACTATAATTTTGAGAAGTAGTGCTTTGAGCTAAATGTAAATTAATGGGTACTCAAAACGACAGAATTAACATAATTAGCATTATAGTTAGCACGATAAACATCAGATTTTTAGCATTTTGGCAGGCTAAGTGCAGGTGGGAATGTCATTAGCTTTAAAAAGGTAGGCTATCTGCCAACTTGACATTATGAATCTCATTAGATTGAGATTGATATTATGACGAAGAAAAATCGTAAAGGAAGACAACCACCTTAATGAATTCAGTCTCTATTGATGAAAACATGAAGATCCATGCCAAATTTCTTGGCATCCATCTGATAGTTGTTGAGATATTAACCTCAAAAGCACATATGTCATTGCGGTGCCACAAAATGTACCAATTTAGCAAATCTAGTGATATTACACATCGTACACAAATATATACAACTGCTTTTGGTGCTAGAGAAAAGAATAAGCATTTGGTCATAGATTTTTCAGCTTGGAGCAAAGTGATGGATCGGTATTGCCATCCCCTCAGTTTAGGGTTGCCAACTTCCAGAAATGGAAAAACGGGACACATGCATGTGTCCCTCGCGTGCACGCGCGCGAAGATTTTCGGGTTTCTGGCGGATTTAGTTACTTTTTTTTGTTACTTTATTTCGGTTTTAGGGTTAGGTTAGGGTTATGTTATTTAATTATTTTGGGGGAGCCAGCCCCTAGGGTTCGAAAATGTTTTTGGGGGTCAAACCCCTCAAAATGAAAACTATGCATACCTATAACACAATACAAACACAATGGTCTTACACCTGCATTAGGCTACTACATCACATTGTACATCAGCATGTTCAAATCGGATAGGTGGGCACTAGGGACATCTGGGCACCTCGATGTACAATTGGCTATTTTGTCCAAAATGTTAAAAAATAAAATATTTGAAAAATGGTATTAAGTAATGCAAAGTATACATGTGAACATGCACGGTACATCATTATTAGACTTAATGTTATCCTTCAACCAACCATTGTTGCTCGCTTGTGCAGTTCTGTGCCAGCATGCTGTTTCAGGTCGTTTTCTCCACCGTGACCTATTGAAAACTCCCTCCGACACAAGGTGCAGAAGACCCGAGACAGATCTCCACTCACGGGCTTTACCCAACTGTATTTTTCTTCCCACTGTGTGTTGTAAGACACAAGTCTTTTCTTTTTAGAAGGGCCAGGGCCCAGAACCACATCCTCTCTCTCTTCTCCTCTTTCATTATCACCTCCACCGGCAGCGCTCATTTTCCCGCACAACTGAACAGGCTGACATGCCACACACAAACAATGATGCCGCGCCCGCGAAAATCTCACACACACGTGCGAGCATTGTGCCTGCCCTGTCAACTGAGCGGTCCTAGCGCCCTTCGCATACAGCACACAAACACACAGGCACGCAGCCAGACACACTGCATTGCGCGCAAACAGAAACATATATTTTATTTTTCCCTTTACCGGGAATCCGGGACAAATAATGTCCCGTACGGGACGTCCCGGCTAATACGGGACGGTTGGCAACCCTACCTCAGCTGCTAGCATGTAAATATAGCAAGTATCACCAGATTTTAATAACTAAATCCTTGGACCGTTGTCAGCCGTTTCCAATTTGTATAGTCTGATGATATGAACCAGAACTTCAGTAGCATCTGTTTCCAGGACAATGGAGCTCTGTTCGCTCCAAGTGACGGCACCCATTAGGGTTGAAGTATAACAAACCAGCGGAGGGTGACTCTCCCAATCAACCTCTACACCACATTGTCATTCATTTATGCATTAAACAGATGGAGAAGGTGACTGTTACTCACTCTTGTGAAAACTAGACACATGTGTTGTCATTCTCTGGAGAGAAACACCAGCTGTCAATCAAAACACTCACTGAAATACTCCTTTATTCCAAATGCAGGACCAGGTCAGCCAAATAAAACATGCATATGTTGTCATTTTCTATCTCTACATTATAGATATTTAATACATAAATGATTCTATCAATACAAAATATAAAAATATGTGAGGCCTCATTTACAACCATATTTACATGGAATTCCTTAACTTAAGTGAAATTATTAATTCAATTATCTATGTACATACTATGAACTAAATACAATAGTACAGTATATCCAAATCACATTGCATGAAAAAGCTCAACTTTACCAATCTGACTACCTTGCACACTTGTTTGCTGCATGGAATTGAAGTTATGAGTAAAATAAAATTGCACATCAGCGTTTGATAAATGTTGTGACTTGATAGAAATGCGCATTGTTAGCCTTAATACTCAGGAGATTTTCTGAAACATTGAAATGAACAAACATGCATGCTTTTTCACTGTTTTACCGACTGATATTCATCACTAACTCTCTATTACTTGATATTCAACACTCAACAACACTGAATAAATGGACCTTTAGTTTCATTTATTTTTTTTGTTCCAGATGGAAGATGTTCGTGTACACACGCTGGACAAAGAGTCATTTCCGTTGCTGGACGACAGGATGTTAGGAGATAATGCAGTTCTTGCTCTTTCTGCGTTTGCGGGTGTGTAACTGCCCGCTGTGGCTGGGTGCTCCGATCCCTGTGTTGTTGTACTTATGGACAAGCTCCTGGTTGCTGAGGTAACGCATCTGGATTGGTCTGGGGATCGGCTCGCCCAGAAAGTACCCTTCATCCTCTGATTCTGAGGATGAGGAGCAAGTGGAGCACCAGCCGTCATCATCGTAATCATCCCAGGAGTATTGGTTTAAGCCAGTGCGCCGGCCGGCCCCAGGGTTCTGAAGAGTCAGGTCTGAAGTGGTCCTGGGGCATGGCCTGAAAGGTTGGGGCTGGTATCTTCCCGCCCCGCCTCCGCCTCCGCCTCCGCCTCCGCCTCCGCCTCCGCCTCCGCCTCCGCCTCCGCCTCCGCCTCCGCCTCCGCCTCCGCCTCCACCCCCGAACTGGTCCCTGGCGCTCCTGGGCGGCGGGAAACGGTCGTAATCCTCACGGACACACAACTGTGGTCTTTCCTGAGGTCTCACTCTTCGCTCTGCCACCAAATTGAGAGCGTTTTCTGAACGAGACCGACGAGATCTCCGGGAGCGGTGGTGGTGCCGGCGCCTCTGGGGAGTGTCCTCTGGTGCATCTATCCTGACACCGGCACCCCTTCCACTTCCAGCGACACTGACACCACCCACCCTGCGCTCACTGATGGGTGATAGGCGGGCAGCGTTGGCACTGCTCACCAAACTCACCCTGTCCTCCTCCTGGAAGGTGAAACCGGGCGGGTAAATGACTCATGCCCATCCCCATGCCAGAGGGGTCACAGTACTGCAACTGGTACGGGGCTGACCTGGGAGGATTCATTTCCATGTAGGGCTGACCGGCTGTGAGGCTGTGAATAGAGCCAGAGCTTCGAAACTGCGCTGAAGAGTTGAGGGTGCCCATGTTACTTTTCTCCGACACGTTCATTCCAGAGTCTTTGCTCAGGTCTGGCATGGAGAAGCGGGAAAGATGCTCCTGACGCTTTCCTCCTCCATCGGCAGAGTGGCCTGTAAGAAAGCAGAGTCAACTTCAGTTAAACTATGTCTTTCTTTGAATTTTACGTGAATACATGTCAATTATGTGTTCAGCAAAGTAAACATAATAAGCGATACTACCAACAACACTAGCACTTCTGCTGTAAACAAAACTTCTTGGATCTATAAAATGGTGCCAGACCAGCAAAGAGACGCTACAACACCCACCTGTAGCATTGGACATGGCCAGCGACTCCATGGACCCCCTTGGGGTCTGCTCCAAAGGCGTCAGTTGTTCTGAGAAGTTAAGTGCATTGATGGGGTTCCTGCTCCTTGCCACCTGGGTTGCAGCTGGAGGCCCCACCTCTCTGTCCCTCTGAAAGCCGTGCAAACTGATCGAACGCTTGTCAGAGGAAAAGCCATTGTGGTGCTGAGAACATTGGGACATCTCTGTGAAGCTCTTCTGGGTCCTCAGCTTAGGTGGATAGTAATCCTCTGGAACCGGCTGTTGGAACCACATCTCATTCATAGATTGGCCTTTCATGGCTGAGATGGTTGGTCTCTTTAAAATCCTGTTCTCCTTGATCCTGTGATCCTGCTGTTGATTACTCTGTCCAGAGCAGGTGGGGTTATAGGCAGTTCTGACATTGCACTGGCTGAGCAGCTGGAGGGGGGTGGGGTTTGCAGTCCCGTCTGATTGGGACTCATAGTTATAGATGTCACGTGCCTGCTCTTGGCTCTGCCATGCAGGTGGCTCACGAGTCAAACTGGGTGTTTGGCTGGAGAGACTCAGGAGATCCATTTGTAAAGACAGTGGGTCCACCTCCCCTGAAAACCTCTCATTCTGCTCTCCCCCTCCACTCTTCGCTGCCTTGGAGCTGTGTCTCGACTCTCTGGTGGAGCGAGCGCTTTGGAAGGCCGAATCAGAGGAGTCAGAGCCATTGGGCTCCTCCCCCAGGCTGCAGGAGCGGGAGCAGAAGATTTGGCCCTGCTTGGGCAGGAAAGGTCGACCCAGCAGAGAGCATTTGCAGCGGGCACAGCAGAAACATCCCTCTATGGCGTGCCAGTGCTGCCCATCATAAGTCATCTGGCCCTGGTCAATGCCTGCAAGAAGGATACACATCGGTTTATGCAAAATACAATTAAAATGCAAAGCACTATGTCTTTATCAAAGAGATTGAAATGAAGAATCTTAATGTCTTTATTTGAAATGCTGTTTTATGTTGCTTGTTGAGTGAGAAAATAGAGCTGGAGGCGACTTAACTGCGCCTGGGGGCAAAGTCATTATGGAGCTTTCCCAGCATTGTATAAACACTTTGCATTTGAGTAAGCTTGCAGTTGTTGCTGGGGGAAAGAAAACCAGCTATTTGCTAATGGCTTCCATCTGGTTTGAGCATGTTTTTCTGATGGTTTCAATTTATAATCAGTTGTGTTTTTTGGCCAAATACTTTTCTATATCCTGTCAGACAAATAATTACAGAGCAAATTTGTTGAGAGGTTTGTGCCAAAATCACACCTGGGCATCCTGTCGGGCAGACGCACACAGAGAGTTTTTACAGGAGGTGGAACAGGGCCAAGAGGTGTTAATATAAAGGTTCCCCAATAAAAAAGTACTCCATTTTTTTCTTTCAATGGGTTTACCTCTAACTTGACAAATGTATGAATGTGTATTCAACTGATGCTTGGTGCATGTGCATGGGCTGTGCATGGACTGTCAAAGAAAGACATCTTAAGGATGAAAAGTCACAAAATACAGTCATGCCTTTGACCCAGATTGGTTTCACACTGCATGTTATACATTATACATATGTAGGTGCTCTTTAAGCGGAGGTCTCTCCGTGTTCCTCTGCTACGTGCCCCTGACTCAAATGCCTGCGCATGACATCATTTGGTGATAAACTGCTGAAAAACAGGCCACATCCTTTCAAACGTGGCCTTTTTCTCCTCTTACTTGATGCCAAAAGAAAATAGGTCACTCCTTAAAAAACAACAACCTGAAGCCGAATAATGCTCCACTTAATTTTTCCATGTATTTAGCATTTAGCCCTTTTCTGTAGGCATTCCTTTGCTGCTGGTGCTTAATGCAATTTGTACCGTGTATCAGTAACAGTGATAGATGCCAACAGCATACCAATGTGCTCCCCACAGGAGTCGCAGTACTCTGCGTAGAGTGACTCGAAGCAGGAGCAGCAGTAGGGCCGTCCTTCCTTCATGATGTAGCGCTGGCCCCCCAGCACAGTCTCGCACTCGAAACAGCAGAAGTGCTTCATGTGCCAGTGACGCCCCTCTGCTTCGGTGCACTCATCTGCAAGGATGATCTGAGAAAGGAGAAAGAGTATCGTTTATCACTGAGCCTCGGATGGTAAAACCTCAGGTGGGTTATTACGGGACGCTGAATGACAGGACAAAGGCTCGGCTCGCCCCCTTCCATTTCCTACGCACCGCTTTTTCCTCTGCAGCCTAATACTCTGAGATTGTCCCCTTTGTCGCACTTGTGACAAAGTGTGGGAAGTTAATGTATGTGGGGACTTGAGGAAATCTATATGGTGCATTTACTTTTAATCATCCTGCTGGTAAAACACCAGGGTGCTTTTGAAGTACTAACAGCGTCCTTGTTCCCATTAACAGGGAGTGTAAGTCAGTGCTAATGGATGGGACATCAAGACATCGAGAGCTGACCCCATTAGCCAAGAAAAACCCTTGCATGTTTAAACTGGGACAGTGTGTGTTGGGAAGCTTGTGAGCATCATATGACAGCATTTTGCACTATATTTGCGTGCATATGTGCAACATTTGTGTATATAAATACATAATAAATAGCTGTTCTTACACCATCCCACAGGAACAGTATGTTTAATGAACAGATTTGTGGGACTTTTAACACATGATTATCTGTGTGTGTTTGGCATGTGCTCACCTCATCACAGGCGGTGCAGCGTGGCTTCAGCCTCTCAGCATGGTGCCGCCCGCAGTAGATCTTCCCGTCCTGGTAGAAGTAGATGAGGTCCACCAGGAGCTCGTTGCACATGCTGCACACGAAGCAGGCTGGGTGCCAACACACACTGTGACCAGCCCGTGTTGCAAATACAGCAATGTCGCCGCCATTTATCTGGCCTCCGCACTAAAAAGAAGTGGAGGAAAATAAGAGTTAATCAGCGATTGATTGCAGCATTTCAGCTTTTATCTGTACTTGGTCTCATATTTCTTTGGCAATGGGTTTTTCAATACCAAAACTTGGAGTAGCGGCTGATACTGAGTTGAAATTCTATAACTTTGCTCCTGGGCAAGTGGTGGCTTTACTACCACTTTTTGTATGTGTATTGTCTTTTACACTGACAAAGACACAAAAACAGCACATACATTCTTTATAGTTAATCACTATGTGAGAGATGAGCCAGCGCAAAGTCAGCCAGCTCAACCAGAGATGGATTCTAATGCCCATGATCTATGGGCTCAGATACTCTAAAAAACGATTGACTTCAGCTTTAAAGAACATTAATTTAAATACATGTATTCGTGGGCATCTTATAGCACAGTATGTTACCAATTTCTCAAGTAATTGAAGTAAATCCATTTGATAGAGCGCAGAATAGCGAGATTGTTGAACCATTTGTGAGGACTTAATTGGTCCATACAATTCCCAATTCCAAAATCTCAATGTGAAAGGCTGCACATCGTTGCAAACGAGAATTTGGGAATGTTTAAATGACAAATTGAATGAGTGCTGTTTCAGTGCTACAGAGGATCTGAACTGAAGATGTACAGTTTTTTTAAAGTAACCTTTTCCCAAGAATTTCCTGGTATCTTGAAAAGGTCAGTATTGGTGCTGTTACAAATCAAGTATATCTGATTGGTACATCTGTTGGTTACACAATTTTGCATGAAAGCTAAAGTGAGAGCATGAGGTTGTGTTTACATGTGTGGCCCGGGAAGGTCACAGAGGGGTAGTCGAATGGCTGCTGGAGGACGTTGGCGGGGCAAAGGGGAGAAATAAAAAGTGAGTGAAATATGGGAAGATAAAAAAGGAGAGCGAGATTGGCGTGGAGGTGTAAAGGTGGAGAAGCCGGAAAGATAAACGAGAAGGAGTGCTAAGGAGACAGGGGGAAAGGTCGGGAAGGGAAAGTAGATTTAGAGGGGTGGGAAGATGGAGACAGAGTGAGAGTTACAATCAGGTTATCTAACTGGCACAAACCCTGGTGCTGCAAGGAGGCCAAGAGGGGGAGGGGGAATTCAATCAATACACACTCTCCCAACAATGTGCTGTATGTGTGTGTGTCTGCTGAGCGAACCAGAAACACAAGCTATAAAGTAGCTATACACCTGGGGCACCAACACAACAGAGAGTAGCTCTGTTTTACTCGAGTTGGTCGTACACACAGTAATAAATGGCTAGCGGATGCTGAAGTGCGCTGGTTTGTTGTTAAAAGAACACTCTCCATTGCCCTCTTTAGTCCCATAAGGCCACAGCAAGAATACATGTTGACAACACATTACATATTTTATGGGACTCTGGGTACTACTATGAAATATTTCCTGAGGATTTAGTGCAGATTTAGCTGTAACTTAGTTCTCTGAGGTATTTTGTAAGCCTTGTAAGTCTTAAGAAAATAATTCTGTGATTGGCAGACAGCAGGGAAAAATAAGACACAACATAGACATGCGACACACTTTGAGGTTAGACTGACATGTCCAAATGTTATAATAAAAACCGACGAATGTAGCTTCTCTGCCCTTTATATGACCACATTAAGAACTCCTCGTACATCACTACAAAGAAATGAAATGCCAACAGGCTCTTTGGTGTGTCAGTCACGATTCATGGCTTTCATTCTACAGGCCACATGACACACCTTTGATCCCGTCACACTTAATACGCTCCTGTCACATGGACGCAACGCAGAAATGACATCTAGAAGTGAGGCAACGGGTGGCCTTCAGATCATCTTTGATCTTGTCATATCCATTGACTGCTGAGGAAATAACACAGAGAGTGTATGTATTTGATTTTTCTGTCAGCTTACCTGTTCGCAGATCGCCCCCGTCATCGTCACGGGGAACGGTCGGACATTGCCACGGCCCAGATTCTCCCGTTTCCGTTGGTTACTGAACAGCTTCAGTTCTCTCTTCTCCTCGTCGTCCAGACCATTACAGTAGCGTACCTACAAACACACATTACATCAATATATATTCGTAAAATGTAATATTTTTGTGTTCCTTTTCAACATTTTTTATTGAAAATGAACCGTTGGTATTGTTACCATATACAATTACAGCACTTCACTCTCAATTCAACATTTTATTTAATATATTTTTATTTAATTGATATCTAAAGGGTTTCCCCAATTGTCATTGTAAAGGAGTACGAAGACGCTGTCATTTTGTCATAAGCATTTCATTATTTGAAATAAGATTGGTCAGTAAAACGTGATTTAAAATAAATAAATAAATAAAATGCATCCTATTGATAATCCGGTTACAGGCCCCTGAAACACTCATTGTTTTGATTCTAATCTGATTAGTGTTGTTGACATCGAACCAATTCATATTTAGTAGAAGGGTTTAGGAATGGTGACATCATCTGCAAATACGGATTAGATTCACACAGCTGTTCACGCTTTTGTAAGCCAATTAACAGAAACAACAGTTCTTAAATTGTTTATTCTATTTTAAAGATTACTCTTGGGGACCAGGAACAAGCAAATAGAGAGAGAGAGAGAGAGAGAGAGTATGAGATGCAACAAAAGTCTGCAGCTGGAATCAAAGAGTGGATGTTGTGGTTAGCTGGCATGTACCTTAACCATTCAGGGGTTCCCAAAAACATAAACTTAATGGCTCTTAGCAAACCGCTTCCATGATGTCACCCCCTAATAAAATAAACCCCTCTCAAACCGAAATGAGCTAACGTTACCAATATGTTACTCTGGAAGTGAAACAGCTCAGTCTGATAAGCAGGCGAGCGGCTAAAGCTTACAGATCTTCTTAGTGGTGTTTCACTTGTTTATGGAAATAACATATTCACATTAATTGTGGTAAATGTTTATTGTTGTACAAATCTTTGCAAACAAAAACCTGAATATTTTATTCCTGTCCAGTCCGACTCCATTTTTTACTACGTCTGTCTCCTTCCTTCTTCACTCTTATCTTTGTATTGCCCGGAAGGAGGGGCGGGAGGGATGGATATATGGAAGGAAGGGGGGGGGGGGGCAGTTTGGACTCTCACCTCATTGTCGTGGGGCGGGAGTTGATGGAGCAGCTGTTTGATGCGGTATTTCTCTCCAGGGCTGTTCACATAGGGCACCTTGTCCTCAGGCAGGGAGCTGTAGTACTGATGAACCTGAGCGAGGGACAGAGAGAGAGGGGAGAGTTAAAAAAGAACACACATGCAACATGTAAACAAGCTGACAAATGCAAAATACTATAGGCTGCGGCCGGTGATTATTACCAATATGAATAGCTCATGGTTACTATTTGTTGTATGAAATGTCACAAAGTGATGACAAATGTCCATCAAGAACTGCCACACTCTCACTCTTTCAATAGCTTACTTTAACAGCATTAACACATAAATGGATACAGATTATAAGGACAAGAGAGAGAAAAGATAAATGGATGAAGGACAGAACATATATTTGGCCTTTGTATTGATAAATTACACAAACAAGTTCAATTATTATTAAAACCTATGGTATGCAAGGACTAAATTAACCGGATCTACAACCTGGAATGACCTAACACACACAACACCCCCCCCCCCACACACACACCCTCACACTTAAAATCACTTTGATTTATGGCCCTCCTGCGGAGACTTAATGGAACCTCACCTCTCCATCTTTGCACATTGACATGGGAATGTATTGCTGACCTGTCAAATGTGTACACACACACACACACACACACACACACACACACACACACACACACACACACACACACACACACACACACACACACACACACACACACACACACACACACACACACACACACACACACACACACACACACACACACACACACACCACACACACACACACACACACACCACACACACACACACACACACACACACACACACACACACACACACACACACACACACACACACACACACACACACACACACACACACACACACACACACACACACACACACATAGCAGTGCGTGTGCATAAGAATGTGTGCGACTGTAGGATTAATGCTAATCTGGCCATTCAAAATTGTTTAGGACATTCCTTGCATTACAGCCCCAGACAATGAGTGTCATCTCCAAGTTATTTATAGTAGCTTTTTTTATTACACTGTAACAGGGGGCCGGGGTATCACAGGGGTCAGGCAGTCGTATATGAATGTGATTAGAGGGGGGTGCAAACCCTGAGAGATGCAGGGTTATAAAGGAGGATTTGAGGACCGAGGTCAAAGACAGAAGAGGACAATGAGGGGTGGGGAGAAGTTAATAATACACAAAATACAATTTTTTCGATGGATGAAGAAAGGTCAAGATATTGTTCGATCGAATGAAAGAAACAACATATAATGAACAACATGATCGATAGCTGCTGACTCGGTCACGCAAATGACCAATCTGTCTACAGAATGGATCTACTCACGAGAAGCCATCAGCTTTGTCCTTGGCAATAACACAGAGTCTGTCGCACAAAAACAGATTACCTTGAATAACGCAGTTACGCATCAGTAGATAGAGACCTAAATGAAAATATATTGCTTTTGAGAACTGGCATATATTAAAGTTTTTTATTTGTTGCAACATAGTGTACAGGCATGTTTGTTGTTGAGATGCTTTTAAAACAGGAACATCTCGATGTAAGCGTAACCTAATTCCATCTGCTCTGCTTTGTTGGCTAAAACCGTTGTTGGCAAGAGGTGCTGGATCTATGTCCAGCAGCACGGCTCAGGACAACAGGGGTTCTAAGGATAGTCCGTGAAAGACTGACTGTGGTCAAGCACTGATAAATCACACAGCGCCTGTGCTTCCAGATGCACACACACACACAGACTGCTAATGATAAATTATGAAAACTGCTTCCAACAACAACAGGGTTACAATCTGGAGGTGAAAGGCACGTTGCCCCGAGGAACATATCCTAAGACAAATACACACCCTCACACGTGCACACTTACATGCACATAATGGACGCAGTTGGAGCGAGAGCCAGGAGGAGCAGCTTGTGATAATAACTGTAATCGAAAGCAGACAAAACTAAAGACAGGGCAGAATTTCGAACTGTACTGAAAGGAGTGTTTTTAAGAGCTAAAGCAAATGGTAGGACTTCGCAGCTGAGTGGCAAGAGCGATCGCTCCACACAGCTGGTTTCTATTGCTGTTAATGGCCAGACAGCCGGAGGAAAGGACACCACCAGGCACCAGTCCTCACATTCTCTCAACAAGACACTTTACAGTGGTTAGTGGACATAGATATTATATTGTTGAGAAAACACTCGTAGTTAGGGCCCAACATGGTGGGAAAAATTGTGTTTTCATAGCGAAATGAGCAGATTTAACGGTCTGTTTTAATTCTCTGTCCTCTTTCTCACGTCTTCGCTGAAATTGGCAAGATCCCATGGCTTGACATTGTACAGTTGGGTGAGCAAATCCAATGCGTGTAAAAGTTAAAAAGCATGAGAGATGTGTTAATTAAGCATAACACATAAGCTGTACTCAAAGTACTGAATATAATACAATTTGACTGGATGTAGTAAAGTCTAAAGCCAAACTAGCAGCTCTGTGAAGTTGTATTTAGAAACAGTGGTATTTGGTATTTGCTTAAAGTAGTACGCTTAACTGCCCACAGTTACAATAATAGTGTGCTGGAGCATAGAAAGTATAATGTTTACTGTCGTCACCGTCTTATTCTGGTGCACAACTTCTGCAAATTAGCATCAAAAAACCTAATTGTGGCCCTGGCGAAGAAAAGTCAGATGTTGATCATTTTGCTGTTTTATGCTCTGGGAACCATACATATCGGGACAAACTTTCATGTCAATCCATTAAACTGTTGTGAAGATATGAACCTCAGTCTCTCTGTCAGCAGGATTTCATAACAACTAGTACTATTTTCATGAAACTGGGTGGAAGGGTGTCGCATTGGCAAAGGTAAAACCCATTACATTTGGAACAGATACAAATCTGTTAACATTGTAAAATATGGCATTTGGCCTTGGTAGAGCTCTGCGCTCGCCAAGTGCTTTTCCATTTTAGTTAGGGTTGGGACATTTCCACCTTTAAGCCACGTTGTGGGCATTGCTAGAGATGTACAGATTTGCAACTGATCTGATGCAGCATTATCATTTAATGGTGTGGAAAGTGCTTTTAATAGCGTTATTAATAATCTTCCATTCACAGCTGCTGGATGTAATCTGGTAAATTTCCATTATCCTTGATTTTGGATGGGAACCTGTCTATTTGTGCCATGTTCCATTTTGGAACAGGTCAAACTAACCTCAGGTATCGTTCAGATCTCAAATCTGTAATTCAATTTGAACCTGGAAAGACCGAATAACCTTTGACTGCTTTTTATTCAAATGTTCCCAATGTGAGCAGTCTGAAAAAGCAGAGTTCATGTTGAAATTAAAATCAGATCCTGGTACATGCTGGGTAGAGTCATATTAGACTGCCGCTTTATGTGATGGTAAAAGACCCGAGCAGATAAACAGACACAGGCCAATGCTGAGTAACATTCTTGGCCTTGACAAGCTGTAACTTGGCAACATCCAAGAATTTTATTTGACAAAGATGGAGAGGAGAGAGCAGGATAGTGGGAGGGTAGTGTTGGCCGGCCCTCCTCCACATTGCAGCTCAATAACATCTCCAACACTCTCAGTAATGGCTGTGTTTGATGATATTTCAGCTATTGTTGGCAAAAATGCAAACACAGACGGGAGAGTTGAACAGCGCGAAGTTATCCCTCATAATCCTCAGATATATCTCACTGGATCCTGGTCTGAAATCTCTCGTTACAGAGTGGAGACTTTACACCGCTGCTGGCTGAATAGCAGACTCATTCACAGCCCTGGATCGCTACGGGGAAACCTAAACCCACAGTTTAGATCCTGTAGATTAGCTTTGTGTTTACCATCTCGCTCTGTCTTTACCTCGTGCAGAGGAAGACCGGGTGTTGAAAAGCCCCGCATCACGCGTACTTCCGCTCCTCTGTGAGAGGTCACACAACATGTTTCCATAGCTTGAATGACTTGGACGTGAGGTTGGGGTAATTTCAATCGCTATAGTTATGGACATTTTTAATCAAGGCTGTCAAACGTTCTCCACAAAATAAAATAGAGTTATTTTAAAGGTTGTTTACAATTGTGCTCATGCAATAGTGCACAGCCAGTTTTGATTATTGCTTGACTGTTCCTGAGGTGCTATGACCACTCGACGAAAACCCTAATGACTAGGGGGACCCTGGAGGGGGATGAAAAATAGCGTAGCTCATTCCTCGAAGGTGAACACGGGAGTCTATGCCAACATTGTAATTGACCAGTTCATTGCTTTCAGTTTATGAACTGGATTAAACCAGCTTCCATAAACGCATCTATTGTCCTATAAAAACCCTCCCACACACCTATGGTTCAGTGGGTTATTGTATTAGAGGATATTCTTCGACATGTATGGGACCATTTAATGTTTGTGTATTACGCAGGCTTAGCTTAGTGGCCATGAGGGCGGCGAAACCTACTGTTAACATGTTTGCGGGTGGAATGAATTGGAGATTAATTTGACTGCTGGAGCCATATAATCCGTGTTATCCATTAGCCCGAAAAAGGAGCATTCAGCAGAAATGGTGAGCTATCATATGTTGAGGTGCAGCTTTTGCAGAACACTTACATAATGTATGCATCAGATGCAACACCGTACACAGGGACAGGTTCATTAGGTTAACACTATACTGGGATGTATGTTAATGTAAGAATTGTAAAACTGAAATCTATCTGTGAATGGAATATTTCCTCGTTTTTTGGCCTTCCATTCACGCAAAAATGTTTTATAACACCTATGTTTTTTAAATCAGGGTTTTTAGAGGAGTGTGACAGTAATGTAACCCAGGGCTCTCATTATTATTTCAATCACTTTGTAAGAGTCCTGGCATGCTCTTGTTAACACCTGCTGTTGGACAACAAACAATACTTTGAACAGAAAATGATGCCACTTTCCAAGAATAGCACAAAGCTGTGGGCTCAAATGCTGAGATATGACTCTAAATGTAATTTTTTCTGTGTGAATGCAAACCTTTGGTAAACCAACTGCCTCTAAATTCATTCACACCCTGGTATAAAAGGCCAATATAGATCTTAGTCGCGTGAGAATGTCACCTAGAGGGGTGTAAGATGCTTATACCTGCTCAGGTTTGAGTCCCGGTGGGACCCAGGCGTACTCCTCAAGGGCACAGCCTGAGTCGTCGTCCGAGGTGGAGTTCCTCTGGAAGTCGTACATCAGCTTGGTCACCGTCTTCTCCATCTCTACAGGCATGGCTGTCACAGCATGCTCCTCACGGCGACACTTACAGTGCACACAGATCTTCCTGCCAGGAAAAAACACAGAAAAAGAACATTAGTCAAGCAAATATCAAGTGTAAACCATAGACTGTATATATATATATATATATATATATATAAACTAACTAAGGTGTAACAGGTGTAAACTAACTGTTTGTTCAATATGCTCATACTAATGAAGGACGTAATGAAATAAGAGACTCAGATTAGAAATGCAGGCAGTAGTTGCTTTCCCTCTTAAATGACAAAGTTGTAAAGTGTGATTGGTGGTTTGCAAATAACCCTTGTACACTCACACACACTCATTAGAGCCCAGTATACACCACCACGAGGGTGAAAACCAACCCTCAGTTTAATAAATCACTGTGTAAACAGAAATACATTTAGAGGGATAGAGTTTCAACAGAAAAAATACGTCATACTGCAGTTGCTGTATGGGCCTCTGAAGCCCGTAATTAATCACTTAAATTAAAAATATCCAAATTACAATTTGAAAGGTAACCTTTTGAATACCTATTAAAAAAAAAGAGGAAAATCTGTCATCCAGACGAATCGAGTTCATGGACCCCCAAATATTCAGTGAAACGTTGGACTTTTTTTGAAGAATTTCTACCCGTGAAGGATGTGAACTCCACACAGTTCATAGGTCAAGGCTTCCCACTGCAGCTCTCACAGTAAAATGTAGGTACCACAAAAACAAAGCTCAACAATCCTCTGGGGTACCAAGAACAAGAATATAATCACAAACAGGCTACGGAAATTATCAGAATACAGCCAATGACAGTGATGGAAAGCAGCACTGTACAAACACACACCAAACACACACTCCTTTATGCACAAGGTTATTGAGAAACAAAAGCAGATGCTTAGCCAGGACAGTGCTTCACTGTCATTCATCAGTGCTTCACTGTCATTCATCTGCTCTTTCGTCTCCAGTGGTGTACAGAGAGTAATAAAGAGCCGTGTTATATTTAATGGACTCAAACAACTATTCTTGGTTGTTGTCTTGTCATACAAAATATTGGGTATATATATATATATATTAACCGACAATAACTACTCCTCTGAGGATAACACAGAGCTTGGCAGACGTCTTGCAATGAGCCGAAGTGGATGTGGGTTAAATGGCTAAGTGCATGGATTAAAATTAAAATATAGGCCACCTTCTGTAGGTCTGTACCTGGATCCAAAGCGGGAATGTACTGCATACATACAGATTTCAGTGTCCTTGACAGCTCTAAGCCCCTTTATGAAGAGGGAATCTCTGGGTGGCCAGAAGGTTGCATGCCACTAACCCTTTCTGCCCCTCAGGCGGTCGAAACCAGGGAGAGAATCCCATTACCTTTCCAGACGGACGCCTGCCTGTCTGACAGACAGCCCTACGGAGGAGCTTAAGGACACTCAGGACACCGCTTGACAGACTGACAGCTTGGTCGGCAGAGGATCTGTTAATGTCCTTGGAGCGCAGACAGCACCATGTGGAGAGCTGGCCAAATCTCACATTGTCCCTTTTTCAAAAGAAGCACTTCTTGTCCAAGGGTTAAGTCTTGGTCTTCTGTCTATTTGGCATAGAGCTGATTGGTTTTGATGACAGAATGGAGACTAAAAATTAGGGATGCACGATATTGGTTTTTTGAAACCGATACCGATAACTTCCTGCTTCTCAAGACCGATACCAACAATTTTTTTACGCCACTAATTATTTTAACGCGATTAACGCATGTGTATTTTTTTTCCTTGGCCGCCCCGTAGTTTCAGAGCGCATCGAGTTTAAAATACCATCTACAAGCTGATGCTGACAGCCCCGCTCCTGTCGCCCGCTTGTGGCAGACCACACTTCCACGTTCACCGGCAGGCACCGACTGGCCATCTGGAGGACCGTGAGGGTGTGTGTATGTGTGGCCCGAGCGAGAGAGAGAGAGACCTTACGTGCATTGTTGTTGTTAGCATCTGGTGCTAGCTAGCTGCGCTAACGGATATAAGGAGCTGTTTAAATGAAAACAGAGGAGCGACATTTCGCCACAACTGCGCCGAGCACTTGACTTTATGCAGGAAGCCAGACAGTGGGACATTGTACGAAAAGTCAGCACACTCAGCACGGATAGTGCGCAACATGATTGCAGCGTCCAGGCAGCTCCGGTTCGAGCATATGCCTTGAGTTGCACATAGCTCCAACGCCCATACCACCGACGACATGTTTGTTTACTGTCCTGGCTTCACGGCCGCATGAGTTAGGGAGCGCTGGATTTGTGAAGAACTCCCCTCTTCCTAAACCACTAATACCACAGTACTGGCAAAACGGAAGGAGCCGAGTGAAAAACAAGCGCCCCTCATCCCAATCCACCCACACCGCAGTATTTTTTTCTTTTTTTTTACCCAAAAAATATATTGTATATTATCGGGGCTATTAATACTGGTATCGGGTTTATCGGGATGACGTCATAATTCCTAATATCGGACCGATAATTATCGGGCCGATAATTATCGTGCATCCCTACTAAAAATACTTTCTAAGAAAAACAACTCATTGGCATGCCAAAGCTGGTCATAAGACATATGATCCTTAAAAAGAAAACATACAAATGTATAGGTCTTAAGTTGGACGAAATCTCCATCACCACTTGAGATTCCTGGCCATACAGTCTATTACTGTCAGCTCCAGCTTTCAACACTACTGATGAGAGAGGGAGACTACTGTAGTCATTGTGGAAGGGCAAGCCACAGGCTTCACAAACTAAATCCATAAATATTTCACATAAAGTGCCAGGGTACCATTGTCATGAATATGAATGGTTATGATAGACAGAGCAGCGATGTAACAAAGGCAGACAAAGTCATCAAGCAGCTGTCAAGCAGGCCCAAGGAGAAGGGTGTTTGGCAAACCCCTGTCCCAGCGGCATGTTGCTATAGCCAGGGGCGACGCAGCTTGCCTCATTACAACCCAGCACCTTCACCATCATTACTAATTTAAGGCTGATTATCGGGCTGACACAACAGAAATACGTGCATGTACCAGAAAGCACACTCAATAATGATTGAAAGTGAAGGACAAAGACACCAAAGGTGGAGACAAAAAGGATAAGCATAATAAACACATCTCCCAGTCTTGTGATATGCTGCCAGGTGGTTAGTATTTCTGCCTTGGGGTAAGGAGGGACTCTTGTAGATAAGAGTATACAAATAGCCAGAGCTGAAGGAAAGCATTTCACACCGCATTCCTTCTGAGAGTTCACTTTACAATGTCCCTGCTCAGCGGTCTGCATATCTATAGGGTTCAACTTGGAGACAGTGTGGTGACCATTGGAGAAATTAACCTGGCACACACTCCAGAGGACTCCAGATGTGCAATGATGACCTACCTCTAGTGATTAAACTAGAAAAATATCTGATCTTCCTACCTCAGCGCTGGCAGAGATACCAGTGTAGGCCTACGGGGACCCGTTTCCCCCCCCCCCCCCCCTTCTATCCTCATGATTTACAACACGCTTCACGCACATGCCTTGGATTTCCCCTTCACTGAAACCCCAAGCTTCCCCTTGCAATCTACATGATTTCAATTAGGACAGATTCTTGGACGTAATACAACTCAAGTGCATCAATGATGCCTCGTAAAAGACTGCGAGGTAAAGTCAAGGAAGTTGAAAGGCGGGTTCTTTATTCAAACATGACTAAGCTTTCAACCCCCGGAAGATGTAAAACACTGATGTATCATTGGCCAGTTGGAGTGTGGAGTTTGTTCAAGACCTGGGGGGTATTGTTGTTGGATAGTCATCCCTGTGACCATGATGTCAGTGGACAATGATTCACCGTTTCGGGTTAATTATCATCGCCTTGCTCTCCTAGATTAGCCATGTAACCAAGGTAACAGGTGGTTTTAATGTGTAACTGGAATCTGATAAAGCCAAGTGACAGTTACATAGATTCGGTTCAATTGCTTTTTTCTCACTGGCTCGATATACACTTTTTGTTATATTCCATGGAATGCTCTTAACATCCCGATAGCAATGAATATCTTAAGTGCTTTGACAAAAAATCCATAAAAAAATGTCATCTCTGGAAGCCGTGGCGCTGTAAAAAGCACGACCAATCATTTTAGCCGGCCCGGCTAAAATAACTGGATGACCTACCTGCCTGTCAGCCTTCCATCTGTGCACAAACTTATCTCGTGCCCTCATTGGTCATGTGCGCGTTCGTGTGTGTTGGAGGAGGGGCTCTGTAAGGAAGTGGCAGATTTTTTTCGGCTGTCTATTTTCAAATTCTAGCGCACTCAAGCTGGTTTCTCCAAAACTACCTACCCCACCTTTAAGCAATCATGGCAAAATAAGGTGTTTTATAAAATATACAAATGTACTATCTTAGAAATTATGCTTCAAATCAAAGCAAGAGTTGACTCGAAGATATCTTTGCAAGGCAAAAATAGGGCTACGGTTGTATTAGGATGGAGGAAAGTCCATTCAACCAAAGCTTAGGGAAAATATCTGATTCAACTATATCCAAGAGCCAGTCGAGGAAGTATAGCCTTGGAAGATTTGAAGCTGAAGTCTCATTCCTGAGCAGCTCCCAAAACCGCTGCAGCTTTTCCATGGCATCACTCTAGATGGCCAGATTAAAATCCCATCTTTAAATGGCAGCTCAGCGCAAAAGCAAAGGTTCGATGACAAGAGGGAAGAGCAGCTGGGTACACTCTTCAGCCAAGTCTTGTCTTCTGTTTTCTCTGGAAGAAGAAGTGGGGGAAGAAGAGGAACATACACTTTTCTCTTTAACGCCCTTTTGTTTGGCCATTACAACATTTCCATACAGTGTTTTTTGAGCTGTTGTTGGAATTTTTAGGGATTTCAATGCTTAGCACTGCTTTCAATTACAAACACACAAGCAAAGAAAGCCTTTGTACCTGAACCAGGTGGCATGTTGTCTTCAGAGCCAATAGGAGTTAATCACAGTTGAACATGACTGGAGGTGTTCCCGATAATAATCAGGCTCGACAAAGACGTTTTCTATTAGCGGCCAATTAGTATGAGCCAGATGCAGCGTGTTGTCGAGGCCTGCATCCACCTGTCATAACAAATTATAGAGAGCTCAAGTTCAACTAGCCTACAGCCTGATGGTGAGTTTCCTCCACTGTATTGGATAAAAATATAAAAAGGTATTTAGCATTTTTACCTAAACACAAAGAGGATTTCAATAGCATTCAACACTGTGACTCCTCCCATGAGACACTTCATCAATTAGGCACAACAAGTGTTTTAACGTTTATCCTGGAGGTGTGGGGTTAAAGAGAACTGTGAATTTAGGAGGTGGCACAGGATCTCAATATAGATGCTACTATAGTTGTGTTATGAAACAGTAGAAGCCATTGGGTTTCGTGCTTGAACCAAACAGACTAAAATATTTGCAAAATATTGACCTCTGTTGCTTCAATTTGAATCACTTCAATCTCTTTTGGGAGTCTCACAACATCAGTGAAGTACAAGACAAAACCTCACTGTAAAAGTGCTTCTAAGACTTTATGGAGATGTAATAAGTTGTTAAATGCTAATCATTGACTGATCTCTGAGCTTGGGTGAAATTACAACTGTATAATGTAACCTGTAGTACCTGGAGATTGTAGATACACAGTTTTTACTGTATATTTGCAAGAAGCTGGGATTTTGTCTTCCTGCTATAGCAACGTATAACTCCCCCTAGTTGTTCACTCCCTCTGTCTTAGAATTGAACGATACAGGACTTGGGGGAGAAGTGGAAAGCAAAACGGAGAGAGATATATTTATGTACCATCAGACTGGGACGCTTTTAAGCTGCAGCCATGACACTGGATCACATTACTTATTCATTCAGTGTTGACTTGTTCCATAAAGTGACACTTCTTTGGATGGTAACAGGGGGAGTCATGGAAGGGACAGGCTTCCAAGAGAGCCTCAGTAAAGACTTCAGACTCAGACAGTGGTAACAGTGCCAGATCATAAGCTCATTTATGACCAACTACCTATATTAAACGGCTTTTGAAAAGCAGCCACCAGTGCAGTACAGTTTTTTTTCCAGAAGCAGTTGTCGATGTCAGCAATAATCTTGATCTGGCTATTAGGCTTCTGTCAGCTCAGTATTTGGGTTGCTCTCAGAACCGAGGAGCCCAAAGATACAGCAGCCAGCTGTTGAAGCCACATTATTCATTATCCCCCTGTCAGTCCATTCATGTGCTAATCCAGTGACCCTTTACACTGCCAAAAAGTAGCCATATAAATGGGTCAATTAGCTTGCATTGAGTCTTGTTATGTTCGCCTTAACACAACTGCTATGGAGCTGCGATTATGCCACTTGTTTCCAATTCAGTTTGAATCAAACCCCAGTAATATTATTAGAAACTCAACTAGGACAACTCAAATACAGGCTGCATCATTATAACACTTGACTAGAGAAACATCATAAACAAGTTGATATGGGGGTCGAGAAATAATATATTTTATAGAGTCCTAATGATACATCTCTTAATTAACTAAGCAATCTATAATCCATATGGCACAGAGTCCAAACAACAAAGACTTTCAGGCAAGAGAGCGCACAGTAGCTTGACCATTGCGCCACAGGGGGTGGGGTGGGGGATATAAACTGGTGAGAACACGTCTATGCAGGGAGAGCTACAGTGCGAGTCGGACAACTCTACATACTGTGTGGTATTTACATCCAAATAGCACCAGGTTTCAGCCATTAAAGAGTAAAGTGACAAAGAACACGAAAACTTCCAAAAATATAAAATACAAATACAACTGGTTTTAATATAAGCCTCGTGACTACTTCACTCACACATTCCAAAGAGGGAGTAAAGTAAAAAAAACAAATTATGTTTGACATGGAGCAATGGATACATTTGGGACTCAATCTTCTTTTCCATTACGCATTTAAAGCCCCAGCCTGGGTCGTCCGGTGCGCAACAAAACGGCTCCAAATGCATCACAAACACGATCAATAATCAGCTGCTTACCTTCTTACAAACTGCGGCGGAGGGAAGCCATAGCCCTGACCTCGGTGCTGGTTGTGGTGGTGCGGGTTTTAAAATACGTTTTCCTCATTGCAGAATTTCTCAAACAACTCCAACTCCACAGCTTTGCCACGAAAACACCCCAGTCTCACCTCGCTGTGTGGTGTCTGCACCCCTCCGCTACATTAACCCCCTCCGTTTAAAAGCCTTTTGTCACCCCCTGCTCTCCGCAAACACACTCGGGAGTTGAGCAAATGAGGAGAAAGCGTAGACGAAGAGCCAACTTAAAGTGCGTAAAGAGATCCACATTTACACATCCAAAAAACGAGTGAGCAGACTCCGCTGAAATATTTGAAAATATCCAAAGAAATAAAACAGAAATCTCTCGGAAACGAGGTTACTGCTTTCTGCTCTGACTGAAGAACAGTGCGGACTTTCGCTGCTTGAAATCACGGAGCGCTGGAGTCTCTCTGCTGACCGACCCACTGAATAACAGCGCTTTAATCCTGCAGCGAAATCAAGTCACTGTAAATCACATGATCACTTCCGGTGTGAACTTTCAAAATAAAAAAATACATTGCCAAATGGATTGGAACATTATATTTGGTTGAATAGAAAAGTTATATATAATTATATAACCTTATAATAATAATATAAATAAATATTTTGGAAATGGAAATGTTTTTCTTTTCTTTTTTAAAACCAAATTAGTATAGAGAACAAAGACATAGCTCAGCTTTGGGGGCAACACAATTGTGGACCCTTCAGATGTTACTTTAGCCTCTTTATTTTATTATACTACAATATCAGATGTAAAAAAAGGTATTTCAACACTTCACTATTAATTATGCATTGGTATATTTGCCTATATTTGGTTCATTTTCTGAACCTTCAACAGCGTTGGGCTTCTATTCTTTAATGTACAGAGAGCGAACATCAATTAAATTCCCTTTTATTACAAAGCTTTTGTTTGAGGGCATGGTTGCTTACTTCCTGTCTTATGGGCCCTCTCTGGTTGACTTGACACACGCTCACACACACACACCGACCCTTCTCCCCCCCCCCTCCTTCCTCTCTGTATCCCGGTGTGATGTCAGCAAGTCAGCGTCCCAACATTGGTGTAATTAGCAGCGTGGAGTTTTGGTGGGATTTGCATGTGAATTAAACCACTTCCCTGAATCAACTGGCCCATGGACAAGAAGAGAGAGAGGGAGAGAAAGAGAGAGAAGAGCTGCAGGGCTCTGACCTGCATGGGGAAATTGGGAGATGAGCCCCTGTAAACAAAACAGTGCTGTTTAGCATAAGAAGCGGACATTAGCTGGAGAAGGGACATAAGGCTTACAGACCAATGAAAATCCACTGAATCCAAAACAAATGTGAAGCCAATTTAGTTGGATTTTTAAACTCCAGGAGCCAATTTTCGAAGTGCACCCATTGTGTCCATTAGTTGTGCTAAAGATTCATTAACAGAGGACAGAGTAGACTAGCCTTCAATGCACACTTGATATAAATAATATCCTGCTTATATTGTGTGTATTGTGTTAACACAAAATTGGCCCTTCAATAGTGTTTTTATTTGTCGGACAGTTTATAGACTTTTTATCTTCACGGTCATCTGTATATTTTTCTTACTCTAATGCTGGTTTATTTCTATTTTGAGATGTTCATATTTCAGAATTGTTCTACTATTTTAATTTGTTATTATGTGCAATGCCTTGTTTTGTTTTTTGCTGCTGCAACAAAAACATTTCCCAAATTGGGATTAATAAAGTACATCTGATCTTATCTTATAAATTACTACCATCAATGCATATGTAATTGCAAAGTATGTGTAATTATGTTATTAGAGAATGTAGTTTAATTGCATGTTGAGCAATTTATCACTTTGCCATGCTTTGAAAAGTGATATAGAAGTAAAGCTTCCTTCCTACATTGATAGGATTATCAAAACACAGCTGTTGTAAACTATAAGCCAGAAAAAAGCAGGGGGCAGATTTGTATATGATCAACACGTGGAGTTAGCTTGACCATTGTGCTGTTCATGCAAACAAATAGACAGCAGAATTGTTCCCTAACAGATTGCCACCATATCAGCTATTCTGGGCTCTCAAACACTCACATGACAGGAGCTTCGTTATGCTACTCCCCTTCTCCTGTTCCTACAATGAGTGGTAGGAGTGTTAAACAATGTCCTGCTGCTGCTCCACATTTGCATATTTGTGTAACGCAAAATGTGTCAAGAAACAGGAAATATTGCCAAAAGTTTTCTGGCAGTCAATTAAGGCTGAACAGATTTGAGGAAGATTTTTAAAGGCAACTTGGAGGACGGATGGGAGTGGGTTAGAAAGTAATTAAATCAAGATTTGTCTATATTCTTCTCAAAGTGCTCCGCTGCTGCCTGTTGGCTAAACAAGAAATGTGGAGAGGAATATCTTATTTAGTTTTTTAACTTCCTTTGAAATAATATATGTAAAGCTGCACAAGGAAGCATTTTCTTCTGAAAACCGCCAGCAGCTCTGAACGACCTCTTCAGTTTCTAAGGACAGTGCTTCAGTCTTTTTCTCCTTCAGGAACTGTTCCTTCAGACTGAAGCTCTGCTTTTCTTTTTTGTGTTCTCCACTCACACATGGCAGGGCCAACTCTTGCTGTGACTTTGTCTCATACAACTCAACATAAGACCGCGGCCTCTTTACAAACACAAGAATATCAATTACAGCTCGGGCTGTACTTGCGGCCTATCCACAATATTTTTTAGAGGACCCCTAAGTTACAGTGTCCTCAGCTCGGAGCGACCACAGAATGGGTCAATTCTTGTGGGGCCAGGCATTTACCACAATAGGTCATTCCCTTTTTGCCAATAAACTGTTCCTCAACTTGCAGTGAGCTGTTTCAAATGCCCAGAGAGGAGTGAATAAAAGCATAGAGGCCAGCTTGGGGGACATACCACAGATAGCATTGCCTACATGGACTCCTGGCATGCACTAAGAGTCGCTGCTTGGTAATTTTAGACAGTGAGCCAAACAGGTTTACTCCCTTCCCAAGCATGCATAAGCGTATTGAGTTTTTTGTCTCTATCAAAGCACAGGATGAGAGATATTGTAAATACATGTTGCCCCAGGGGCCGGGATCCCTATCTAAAGTATGCAAGTTGTATGACATCAAAGGATTATATCCTACAAGAAAATTATTCATATTTCACCAGGGAAGGAACTGATTTTTATACTGCATGACATGGTAAGAAAAACACTCTTGATAAATCAATGTGTTTATCTCGATTTGAAAAGTAGCCAACATCCCAACATGGCTTCCTCATCTTTACTTCTCATCTGCTTTTTTAGGAACACCAGTCTCCTCTCCTTTCATGTGGCAAATGCTGATGGCTATCACTCTAGAGTCAACATACGAGGCAGCTGGGACTCACCCCAACAGCTGATAGCTCAGACATGTTGGGAGGGAGGGAGAGAGCCAGCTTCCTCTCCATATAGTTTTCTATCCCCCTGCTGAAGAAGGTTCCTGAGCACTTTCTGACTAAGTATTTACAGTGCTGCAAATCCGAGCTCTAACTGGCTACTGAACTGTGATGCAACTCCTTTAACCAAAGGGTCTAAAACTCAGGCGGCCATGATTTTGAGGGTGGGGTTATGTTATCACACCATTTCATTCCTCAGCAACCTGACCTGTGTTGGACAACGAGCATAGTGAGAAAAAAATGGGTTTTCTGAAGGTTCACTGAAGAAAGAAAGTCCTGCAATCTCAAATACATTTGAGATAAAAGGAAGAAAAAGACAAGTGATACAACATTTTGCCTCATTAACCACAAAGCAGATTGTTAACTAGTTGAATAATAACTTATTTAACTAGAAGTAACAGCTTTCCAACATGACAAGAGAGGTGCTTATTGGCACATACAGAGCCACCATGCAGTCACGTTGTTACTATTAATTCACACTTATAGTTATGCCATAACAGCATCAAAACTCATACCCCCATACATCTCTTATAGTATAAGAATATTTGAGTGTCTGAACTTTCTGAAAAAGAATATGGATAGCTCGCCCATTTTGTGCAGCGATTGATGTTCAGAGGTGACATAGAAAGCCTGATTTGAACTCAGGCTTTTTTCCCACAAGTCAAGCAACTATTAATGTAATTTGTGTTTGAACCATTTAAAGGGTTGGTCAGGTCTCGCCTGTCTCCATGAAGGCAGGATTTTCTTCTCAACATTGAGAGGTGAAAAAAAGTTAATCTTTAATTGCTAGATTATTTGCTAGTACACAGACCAACAAATCAAACTACCAGGGCATTAAACTCACTGAATGGCACACTGGAGACGATGTGGAAGTTGTTGCCAACCACTGCAGATAATCCTGGTAAGTTTGTTTGCTTACCTGCTGTTGGATAACGGTCCTTCCGCTACATTAAAGGTGAAATGATTCATGTTAACACTCGCATACAGTTACAAAGAAGAGGAAGCAGCTGCCAGTTAGTATAAAGGTTCACTGATTTCCCCAAACCATTGAGTGAGAGCAGAGTCATTCTGAAGACACATTGACCTCCTCTCTACCATGAACAAGCAGTACTTTGGCTCAACTACGCTGCCCAGAAAGCAGATTTAGTGTGACAATACCGGGGGCTCACTATGGGTCCTCCACAGAAGAGCCCCTCTGTAGCCATGTTCCCAACAGATAAGTGGCCATTATTCACCCCGTGTTGAACATTAACTGGATTAATTCTGCTTGAGCTGAGGGGTGAAATTGTATTTGTCCAAAGGGAGGGAAATGGCAAGGAAATGAGCAGAGTAGCCAGCCTGGCTGAAATTCTAATTAGCTTGGGGGTTCGTTAACACACAAACTCAACTCTTGCTGCAGAGACTTTGCTGGTAGGGAGGCCTGGGTAAGCTATTAAGCCAATGAGGGGGAACAAGTGGGAGACAGCAAAAAGAAAAAGAGGAAAGAAGAAATAATATGGACACTTAGTTTCACGAATAAGGCCTATGGCAAGGAGGTGACCTTGTGGAGTGACTCCTCAAGGGGACTGGAGTTATGTTTTGCCCCTTGGGCTCTTCAGCACAGAGAGAAAACACACTGAGCCCTCTACGTTCGTCTATCCATTAGACCATCCATCTCCAGTGTAGACAGCACTCTCCAGGGCAAAGCAGCTCAATTTCCAGTGGTCTGTGCCCAACAATGGTGGTTTGTCAATGAGCTTTTCTCATTTGTACTATACATGTGGATTCTGGTTCAAATAATATCTAGGTCATGTGCTGGTCTTAGAAAAAGGGCGTTCTAAGAATGAAAAAATACTTAGAAAAATAGAGAGATTAAGAAGAGATGATCTAGCTGTCTAAATTCAACACATCCATCTGTGCTGAAATACAATCTCCTTTAAAAAAAATGTTGCGAAGTAATGCACAAGAACCTCTCTTCTCTCTCCCAGCAACACAGCTCTGATGCAGAACGATCTTGTGGCTCTATGAATGAACCA